GTTTTTTAATAAAGCAAAAATTACAAGAATTTACTGTCGACATAGATGAAGACATACAAGAAAAAAAATGGAAACATAATGTTTCTGAGAGAAGATATGATGGAGATGAAGAGAGAGAAAGGGAAAATATGAAAAGGATATGCTAACTTCCTTCAGAAAGAAAAGGGGAAAACCCCTTCGAGAGCAAGAAGATATCAGTGATGAAACACAAGTAGCCAAACTACCAAGTAGAAGAACATTCGCACATTAATTGTCACCATAGGTAGAAAAGGAATACATTCACCGGAAAAAGGGGAAAAAAGGGAAAAAAGAGGGAAAAAAGGTTGAGAAGAAGAAAGACAGCCAAGGCAGCCCCCAAGAAAGCGAAGAAGCCAGTAAAGAAAACGACTGAGAAGAAAGAGATACTGAGAGAAACAGAAGCAAATTACAAAAGCATATACATTGCATTTTTTTCAGAAAAAAAAATAGAGGAAACTAATTTGAAAGCGAACAAAATAAAAACCAAGAAACCAAAAGTAAAAAAAAAAAATTGTAGAAATGCTAAAAATTAATCTTTCAGATGGAAGAACATTTGCACATTAGTGGTTAAAATAAAGAGATTAAAGAGGGATACGTTCTAACAAAAAAATGAAACAAGCGCATGAGCTAACCACTAAAAAACATTTTCTGAAAAAGAAAAATGGTGGCAAAACTTGAAGAAAAATTGTGCGTAACATCGATCTTGCAACAAAAGACTGCACCTAAATTTGATTTGTGTGAAAAGGAAGCAAAATCTATATCCCCTCCTTACAAAGTTCCTGCCACAAAATCAACAAAATCCATAGTTTTCTTGTCGACATTGCAATGTTTGTGCTGACATCTGCAATAGACACTACACATGTAGACACTGTGCCTGCAGATGGGTTGCCGCCTCGTAAGACATAACTGTCGCAATCCCTGATGATGAACGACATCGTAACGAGGCGAGGGTCGTATTTTTAGCGAGCCAGCGTGCAAATTGGAGGGGAGCTTGAGCTGAAAGATACACTATGCAAACAACTTCGTCAGGTATGGAACAGGAGAAAATAAAATTAAGGAGGCATAACGTTTTAATTTCCATCATTTCGGCGGGGGGGGGGGGGGGGGGGGGGGAGGGGTCACTCTCGCAGATGCATCATCAATCAATCTCCAACCTGAAGAGGCCGATGCTTAAAGATGCCTTCAAAATTAAATTTGGAGCATGTGGAAAAAAGCTGCACGGCGGCGTCTAAAGTCAACACTTGCTATTCTTTCATCTGTTCAAAGTAAACTTAAGCCGTTACGTTTTCCTCCGGCGGCGGCAGGCAGCATCAAGTGTTTTTGAAACGAGGAACTGTTTTGACACGAAAAAGATTCTATAAACATCCAAAATAGAGGGAGACTTTTTGTTCCAAATTCTGTACGACACTGTGCAAATCCCGAAGGACTCATCAATTGTGTAACTAGAGAAGAAAATCATTCTAAAGAAAGTAGTGGATGGAAGCCTTGAAAATTTATGAAGTATCTATTTCTTTATAATAATGTACATTGAATGCAGGGTAGAAGTGAAGTCAGGCAGATATATACAAAGAAATGAGTGATGGCCTACAAGTGTTGTTATTTTCTTTGGAAATCATGGACAGAATAGAATGAACAACATGTGTATCTTTATAGATAAACATGAAACAATATGAGAATTTTAACGATTTCCCATAATTTGTTTTTGTTCATACCCAGAACTTCCATTAATTAAAAATCGGTGTCTTTGTTTTATGATTTTAAAATAATCTATTCAAAGTCTTCTGGCCCCTTTTTATAATATTTCACAAATATGTTTTATTTTACCTGACTGCTAAGAAAGCATCAATGCTTGTTAATACGCAACCAGAGGACCAACGGCTTTAGATCCTCTCCGAGGGACCTGGTAATGACATGCTATTATATCTCCTTATTCATTATGGAAAAACAATTTCTTAAAGATGCACTTAATCTATACACAGGGGTATAAAAGAAACATTATTTTTAGCAAACCAGTGAGCATGAAAAAATGGTACCTGACACAATTGCAAAGGCTTTCAACAAATCAGCTTAGGAGAAATTCTAATAACCTATTGTATATCCAACAGAAATCGTATATCTGTAAAGCGCTTAGAGACGTCAGAGATGTATTAAGCGCTAAATAAAAGCTGACTATTATTATTATATTCCGATTACTTAATTATGTCATTGTGATCTTCACACATTTGGATAGATGATGGATGAGATTAATGAAATTGCATTTGGTTGATTTTGAAACTTTGAAATCTTTGAAGTCTTTGAAATCATGTTTCCTGCATTAAGCTGTATGGCTGAAAGAATCCGATAGTTTGAGGGTTAAGGACTTTGCATTCCAAACTACATTATACCTTCATGTCCTACAGATGTTTCCTTTCCCATCGGGGGAGACTGGAGAGTCAACATTGTCGGACAGAAAGACGAACAATGACCATATATATCTGGCAAAAGGCGCCTAATGACACATCTGAGCAAACAGAATTCATTTTAGGGCTGACTGCTTGAGCCAATGAGTCCCAGGCCAGTCACATTATCTTGCAGGCAATCCTGAAAGTGTGGCCGATGTAAAATTTGTCAGATCGTTTTTTTTTTCTTCTTCCGAAGTCCTTTTGTAACATTTTTGAGACTTAGAAAAGAGATAGTTTGATATATAGGTCAAAACTGTCACTAAGCTACATGTATGTACACTTTTGAAACCAGTAAAGCAGTAAGAATAGTTACAAGCAACCCTGTAGAAATGTAATTGTTTGAATCTCTTTTCTCATTTCGTTTTGAAGATGTTTGAGAAATGGAACAGAGCTACGTTGCATAGGTCCTGTCCAAATTTATCATGCTATATGCATATTTTTTAAGCCAGCTAAGAAATAAGACTTGTTCAGCCATCAAGTTCTTTCACTGGTGGGTTTTTAACTTTTACCTTGGACCCAACACTACTTAATCTAACCCTAACACTCAACAAACCATAGGCCTGTATTCATCAGCGCGAGTTTGCCAAATAACCCACTATTTTCAGATTTGGGATATTATCCTGAAGCTCTAAATTGCGTCTTCCACAGACCGATACACTCATCACTAGTTAGGACGGGCGCAAATTAGCCTGCTATTTCCCAAAAAGCGAAACATTTTGGAAACAAGACCAAGATTTCTCAGGAAATTTACTCGACCAAATATCCCGCTAATTGCAACTCCAGGCTGATGAAGATGCAAGTTAACTGGTTAATTTGTGATTGGGATAGTTACAACAACAGGTTATTTGGCAAAATTGAGCTGATGAGGACAGGCCTCATGTAACTTAATCACAACCCTTACCCTATATCTTTGAGAGCATAAAGCCTAAAACAAATGTCACCGGAGAAATGTCACCAAAGCAAATGTCGGATCAACGCCTGCAGTGTACCATACTAAAAGGTAGGCCCTTGACATAGTGCCCTCTCCGATGCCAGATACCATTACCACACAGGCTCCAAAATTTATTCTCTTCATCACAGACACTCGATCGTGGAACTGTTTCTCATACGATTCTTGGCCAAGGCCTTAATCAAACGCGACACATGCCAGAAAGATAATGGCTATGAAATGTGAACTCTACAAGATGGGGCTATTTTTACGCCTGGCAAAACTGGAGCGACATACTTTCTCATCTTTTTGTATATATTATTGTAATTTGTTCAGCCTACCGAGGATATTGCTGGGCGCTTATTGTTCTTTCAATCCAATGTTTGTTAAGATCCATTACTGCTCTGACATCCTACTAAAAGGTTTTAGATCTTGTGCCTGCCTGAATGCAAGGATTGCAAGCATATCTGTTCACCCCTGGAAGCGCGATCTCTCTAGTCCATTTGAGAGCTTATTAGAAGTTTCTTCTTTCATCAGATGCACTCCCAAGATATTTTTTTTTTACAATCATATAATTTTTAAATCTAAGTTAGAATTTTGGTGCATGCTCTACCCCTTTCCCTCAAAAAAGTTCACCGTTTTAAAGATTTTTATTTACCAGTAACCAATATCAAGGTACTAAGAACCAAGTCAGATGGACGAGACTGACATCAGACTGACAACAGACTTGATAAACGATTACATTTATACCCCAAATGATCAAGATTTGGTCGGTTTGGAGTCAGTGTTGAGTCAGACTGGTGATGTGACTGAGGTTTAAGCTGCTGTTCAAATTCGTTTTCTTCTTCTCTTCAGTGACATGTAAAGAATGTATTACATGAATGAAAGGTGAAATATAATTCACATCCAGGCCAGGATATAAATTCCCGTAAATAACCTGCTTCCAGAATAATCAAATGAAATCATTATGCAATAAGCTTTTTTTTCTTTAAATGCTTCTTTTTTTAATGATTTTCCATCATGTGAGAACAGGCCTGTTATTTGAGAATGATGCGAACATCTGAAGCTCATGAGAATGGACTATTACAAAAACAATCTCCTCTGAGAAAGACAATTAATCAACCCAGAGAAGTAGCGTATCTACTCCACTTTATGAGCAACCTGTGAATATCACTCAAACGTTTCTATCGGGATGGCAGATCCAGGACTTTGTGTGTGCGTGTTGTAATCGTGCACTTAAGGCGTCATGGTGTAGTGGATACGTCACCGGGCTATGGATGGCATGATTTGCGGTAAAAGTTCTATTTTTAATTTATATGAAAAGCGTAAGTTTCATACTAACTTGAGGGGGGGGGGGGGTTCAAGTGACATGCATAAAATATTATTGAATTTTTAAAAAAAACTCTTGTTACATCTAACTTTCTGAATTTTTATTCAAACTCACTAGGTGTTGCTGGTTTACTTATGGAATGAAAGCAGTACCGGTACTTTTTTTTTTTTACAGAATATGATTAAGGAAATATTAAATATAGCCAGAAAAAATCTCACTGAATAAAGGAAAATTTATGTTTTCAAATCTCAAAAATTCCTCTTCTACTTCCACATCAATTTACCTTTTCAATTGTTGCCAATTTGAGTGAGTCTGTGTAGTACCAACAATCCCTTGTGTACAGTGCGTCCACCTGTAAATGGGAAGAGAAACAAATATTTCAAAATAAAATTTTCCAGTCATGAAAGAGAATTTTGCATTGAAAGCAAACACAATTTTATCAACAGAAAGGCTCTTTCAAAAAGCTTTGCAACAGCCAGCTTGGATGTAAAATCTAGAAAATATATGCATAGATTTTGATACAAGTGTTATAATTACAATAATTTAAGACTGAAAATGAAATTCTATCGATTTGATTAAAAAAAATAAGAAGTTCAAGAATACTTAATTTTGTTCCATTTCAACAAAAACAAAGTTTTTTTTTTGTATGATTTTTCAAAAGGGTTTAGATAGTTGTGGAAAAACTTGTACTGTAAAAATTCTGATGTCAGTGAGTTATGATTGTTTTTCTTTTATATTGTAAATAAACTAACAGACAGAGAGAGAAAACAACATGAATTGTGAGATAGGAAAGAGATAAACTGATCATTTTAAAAATAATAATTCAAATTCAAATATCAAAAGAAGAATGTATTTCTCACAGTTCTCAGCATTGTATAATACCTACAGTAATATGGTCAAATAGAAAAGATATAAGAGAGAGAGAGGGGGAAGGGAGAGAGATGGAGAGAGAGACAGATTAGAGAGAGAGAGAGAGAGAGAGAGAGAGAGATGAGAGAGAGGGTGAAATGGACATATCCTTCTTAGATATAGAAACTTTCAAAAAGAAAGAGGCAGACAGGGAGACAGGAGAGGGAATGAGAAAAAATGAGACAAAGCGAGCATCATACTGACAGAGACGCAGCGGAGGGGAGGGGGGGGGGGGGGTGGAGAAAAAAGACAAAAATTAGGTTATAAATATAATCCCCCTGTCATGGGACCAATGTAATGAGTTTAACCCATTTAATACTATCTAATAAGAGGATAAAAAATGTCTTCAAATCCCCAATCTGGACCAGCTTATCTCGCTCCAACTATCAAGATCCCAGAGCATCGCTCCCACCAACAAAGGCCAAAGAGCTACCAGTCACATTGAGCAGAGCAAAGCACTTTTGGTATCATTCAACATTTTCAACTTAAATAAACAAGAACAATTTAGGACTAAGTATTGATTGAGTGCTCAGACTCTTGCCCTGTACTCTTGTCATTGTCAATGCATCAAGAACCATATTTGATTAGAACACATATATTTTTTTTGTTTTTCTTTTATTATTCATTTATTCTTGATTTGTGAGATGAAAAAACCCTGATCAGCACGAATGTTATTCCTTTACAGGGGTCCATGAAGCTAATATATATGTTTAAAAAGTCTAGCCTGTGCGTTAAACAGCGATTTGAAAATGCATTTGGATTTCTATCAAATTAACATTCAGATGTTCAAGAGCAAAGAGTGAAAATGGCAATTATATAATTGCCTTGAGTATACGTCAGCGATCGTTTTCATTAACCTTTTCAAATTCATATCCCCATCTGAATCTTCCATTTTTGTAAGTACTGAAAAACAGTTGGTGAATAATATCCATCAGATAGAGTAATACAGCGATGCTGACAACCTTGTAAAATGACGACTGCTGGAATGCTCCCCAGGGAGTGGAAAATGTGCATACATTGTGTTGCAGGTAAGCCTAAATCCGATGACCGGGGTAATAATATACTAGTATTAGGCGCATTATAAATGTGAGCTATTTTTATTATTATTAACCTGTCTACGGTAGATGTTAACTTGTTAAAACCATCATATTTTCACGACCATTCTCAACAAGTTCTATAAACTTGGGTTCACACATGCAATTTCTAGAAAATGCTTCAAAAGGGAAAAAGATGATGGCCATGTCCCAAAAACAAATTGGCGCATACATAATTAAGATGCGATGAAATGCAAGCATTTTCGAATGGCAAATACATTAATGCGCCCACTGAGACCTGCATCTTACCATTTGACTGTGTTTATGTGGAGTCATGCAATTAAAGGAAAGGGCTGCCTCCATAACTGTGTGAATCTTTATGATTTGATCAGGTTTGTTACTTATTTCTTGACTTTATGATCATAATGTAGATTCGTTTTAAATAAAAACAAAAAATTCATGTTTGAGAGTACATCAGGGACTATGCACTCGTTCATCATCCAACTGTGAATTAACATGATTGTGGTGCACATTCACTAATGCATTCGCAAACATGATTTATTTGTATAAGACCTTATTGGCATTAAGAAACTAGGGGTTATTCACACAAATTAACCACAATAAAAGTTTAAAGTGTAAATATGAACTGAGCATGCACTAATAAATAACTTAGTACTTCATACAAAATAATTATCTTCCATCAAGCAAATACACATCTTCAGAAGTGTATTAACCAACAGCTATCAAGTTTGCAGATATTGACAGATCAAATAAATTGAGAAGTGAGATGCGCTCGACAAAATTGAGAGCCTGACCAGTACGACAGGAAACGCCATCACAAACACTCCGATCATCGTCTGTCCTTTCCATCAAATATCTTGCATCCGTCCAAAACACATCCAGCATATTGCAGCAAAACACATTACTGCTCCCCCCTCCAACAAGCTATCAGGATGGAGAAGAGACATGTGCAGAGTACACAGTAAAGAAAAGTAAGAATGACAAAAAAGGAACACACGTTTGCTTGCAGTGTAAATGACCGCTAATCTGTGATCCAGGAAATTAGCCTGAAGTTACAAATTGTGTCTTTTCGTGTCTTTTCGTGTCTTCATCAGCTAAAAACTCGAGCTCAAGAAATTAGCTCAGTTTTCGAGCATAGTACAAGATGAACACTTATACACACATATTTTTAGCTAACAGCTGATCGCACGTGAAACATTCGTGCATTTCAAAAATATCGTTGGAAACCAGAAACAGTAGGATATCGTCATGCATGCCGAGATCAAAAAATCTTCCTGAGTCTTCAGGCTAATGAAGACGAACAACAAATAGCGGGCTATTTTGCAAACTAGCCCAAGATATCTTGGAAAGATTTCCAGAGCAAATAGCCTGAAATGGCTGAAATGGCCTGCTATTTGCGTCTTCACCTGCCGAATAGCACGCTATTTCGTGATCTGGCTAATTGCCCGGATCAGAAATGGCGGGCTATTTGGCCAACTCCGGCTGATGAGGACAGGCCTTTCAAGGTAATGCCCTTCAGACAAATTACAATTTGAGAGGATGGGTTAATTTTTCAAGAAGATAGATCTCAGCCGGGAGAGAGGGGAGAGGGGATGTTCGGAAGTGCGAATGTGCCAGGTAGGGTCATTCTGACAAGGTTTTATTAGGCTCGTTACTCCTAATTTACAAGTCTGGAATTTGTGACATCAATCAAGTCTATGGATGCATATTGCAGGGAAGTCCAATATGGCAATGACTAAAAAAAGGATAAGGTGCTTTATTACGATCTCAAGCTGAAACCCAGATGACATAATTTAAAATAAGCCTATTCTTGTTTTCAAAAGCTGGCATCTCTTACATCCCCTAAAAAGCAGATACCGGTAATCAATAATTGAAATATCTTATTGAGTTTTCCACAATATTTTAGTTATCATTTGAAGAAGAAAAAAAGACTTTCCACAATGTTTCACATATTCGAAATTACTTTCTCATTTGCAGATTTAAAGCTTTTTTTGTCTTCAATTCTTTTGCTGAGCAAAATCTGTCCCATGTCACTATTCCATTTTCTCTCCAATTTGTTTAATGGCAACTCATAAGAAATTGAGATGACTAAATAGCCATTAGTGTGTAATCAATGTCAGATGCATTTCCACTTCTCATCAATTGCTAATGACAGAGAGCAGGTTGATATTATGGTTGTAAATTATTGATAAAAAGGTGAAGTGGCAATATTCTGTATTCACCTTGATTTCTTGCTAATACTAAGTATTTACAAGGTATCTCTCCTAAAATTGACAAAGTGCTGGCTAATTAACAAAAATATATATGAAAAGATGAAGAAAGAAAAAAAGCATTTAATAGGCTTCTGCAGGAATCAGTAAACTGGAATTCAGAATGTGTCATGGATAGCACAAACAAGTGATCTAAGTGCAATGCTCATTAAAGATGTTTATTAATTAGTGATAAAATTTGTGAAATAGTCTTTTTGGTACACTTTTTAATTCTTACATGTGCAAATCTATCTAGACCCATCTTTCGCTCAGCCGACTCTCCTCTCCTCTGTCTTGAAATTGAAGATAGCTATTACTGTAGTTTGAGATAATTATACTGCTACTGCTGAGCTCTACTGATACTAATTCTCTTATTGATACTACTAATACTAATAATTACACCTGGTTGGAGAGTAGTAAATGTGGATCGAGGATTTATCAGAAATTGTTACTGCTAGGCTGGGATTAGAACCCTCAACCCTGAGACTGAGAGTCCAGTGCATAAACCACTAAACCACAATTAACTCCTGAGAATCTAACTTTGCTATTCATCGACCAAACTCAAAGATGTCTGCCTCATCTGACAATGCTTTAAGAGGCCTCACTCAAGCTCCACAGGGTCTTTAACAGCTGTTGATTTTTGCTGATTATTTCCATGAAAATATGTGTGTATATATCGTAAACCGTAATCCTTAGACATGCTGAAAAGGTCAATGCCAAAAACAGTCTCGTACTAGTGGCTTGTTTCCACTGCTTTCAAATATACAATGCAATGGTTGGTTGGTGGAGTCGTGGCAAAGTTGAGAATGAATGGGCATTTCCATATTTGCTCAAAATTTATAAAAAAATGATTGCAGCTACTTTAGAAAAATCAACTCAAGGGAATTTCAATGTACTATTGTATGTCCGCTAGAAGAAGAATGTCATTGCAATGTTCACACATTTCAAAAGGTGTTGTACAAGATCATCGAAATTGCCTGTTTTTTTAAACGAAAGTATTTGGGATTGTGTTATTAGTACAAGTATTGATTTAAACTTAAATGAATCTTAATTTTGGAGGAACAGTTCATCCCTATTTTCACGAAGTGACGGTAATGAATGAAAATCGCATACAATTTGCATGCAGATTTTCCTCACTACCGTCACTTCGTGAAAATAGGAACAAATTGTCTTCCTCATGATTTTCAATTACCCCTTTGGCTGAAATTTTACACATTTGAAAATATTTCAATCATTTATCATCATTTTAATACACGACGCAGAGGGAATCTGTTTAAA